CTACCAGCCTGCTAGCCAGGAGGTTTTATAATACCTGAGAGCTTCTGAGAGCATAAGCAGAGAGAGGGAATAAAAGGTGCGGCCAGAATTCGATTTACCGGCTCCACAGGCCATTCCTCTCACCGGTTCTCAAGGATTAGGATGCTGAGACCAGCCGGCAACTGGGGGCCTAGTACCCTTCCCACCCCTTTGTTCCCTGGGATGGGAGGGACAATAAAAGGGCCGACTGGAGAGGCTGAGGGGCTTGGCTAGAGATTTCTCAGGCTGCTTTTTGAAACACTTGAAGGAGCCAGTCCTTGCTATTGTTGTAGTAAAATAGAAAGCGGAACTATTCTCCTTTGTGGGGGGAGGGTTGCTTACGAAAAAGTAGAAGAAAGAAAACCCACCCTCCCAGCACCTTCAGTAGGCCGCCAGTCTCAGGCCATTACCATGGTAATAAGTGCTGTTTGCATCTTCTTTGTCCCACAGTAGCCTCACTGGTCAGGAATCCTGGCCTCTGTGGTTGGGCCCAGGACCCTGGAAATACTTGGCCTCGGAAGGAGAGAGTCTCACAACCACCAGTTTCCCGAGGGTTTGAACTCAGAGGGGCCAGGTCCCTTTTATGCAACTGGAGTGGGAAAGATAGAAGGGCGTGGGGAGGATCCTATTAATCCATTTTTCCTTTAGTCCCCAGGGTTCACTGTGAAGGTCTGAGCAGCCACAGAGTGGGAGACTTAGAGGTCTGGCCAATCCAGTGAGGCTCAGTGGTGCTGGTACCTAGTGGAGAGGAACAAGCAGAAGTCGGCTTTGGGACTCAGTTTTTATGAAAAGGGCCCACACAACCAAGCGTTACTGAAGGGAGGAGTCTACAGTGAACTCCGACTTGACCCTCATCTGCTCTACTCATGTCCTTTGGGCCCCCAATAACCCCCAAATGTGCTGCCCAGAACAAACTAGGGCCTCCTGGGCCTCTGTGTCAATAAAATTCTGTGATTGAAAGAAATGTTGTGATACTGCAGGCGGCCTGGCTTTCCCAGAGCCGCTCTGGCTTTCGGAGGGCATATGGGTAGGACTGTTGACTTGGTGAAGAAACAAATCATGAAGGAGGGGCTGGCCAGGGAGGACAATGAGGCTGAGGCTCTTGGGTCACTCTTCCTTTTGCCCTCTATTCCTTTTCCTCAGGAGTCTGGGGAGCATTTGAAAAACAAAATCCAGGTTGTTTTGAACAGGACAGAAGATAATAGCTTTCTTTCTCAATAGAAAGGGAGAGAGAGAGAGAGAGAGAGAGAGTGTGTGTGTTGGGGGAGGTTTGTTTACTCATTTATTTTAAACCAAGCTCAGGCTGAATTTGGATTCTGGAGCTGTCCTCTATTAGTTTAGGATTCAATGAGCAAAACCTGGGGAGGGGGGCTTGGGAATGAATACCCTGAGGTAGGTCCAGAGAAGGTGCTAGTTTCCTGTTTCTCCAGCCACCTGTTATAAGGACTCACAAGAAATCAGCAAACAAAGAAGCAATGATTTTTTTTTTTAATGATATATTTATTATTTATACAAGAACTGGGTACAGGCCAGATGTGCAGGAGGGTGAGAGGATTCACCAGAGACAGAGCGGGGAACAGAACATGCAGACTGACTGAAATACACTGCTGAGGGGAGCAGCAGGCGAGATAGGAGAGGTCTGCCGTGCCATGTGGGTTGCTCCGTGGCCAGCAGGGATCGAACCAGCACTGCAGAGGCTATGGACAGCCTCACAGCACTGCTCTCAACCACCTGCGCCACCAGGGAGGCCCAAGCAATGATTTTTAAAGCTAGAAAGCCATGTGCCTTATCTTTCTTGTAAATCAAGAATGTTCAATTGCCTTTTAAAGCATATTGAGAGCAGTGTTAATCTCCTTTGTCTGGTCCCTTGTGACAAACCTGGGCTAGATTCTTCCACCCCATTTTCTTAGTCACTGAGCCCAATGGATGATTTACTGAAAAATATTCCCATACCCCCCAAATACCACCATCTGCCCACTGCACCCGCACAAAATACCACCATATGAGTTCACCAGATTTCCGTTTCAATCAGTAACACATCTAAATGTTTTCTGCCTGGTAGACTCAAAGTGACCCAGAAGATTCACAATTTATTTCCATCCAGATATGGAGGTGTCTGCCGGGTAAACACCACCCACACACCTGGCACAGCCAGGCATTCTTGTAGGAGCCTGGGCAGATTGCCCTAGGGCTCAATGGAGCAGAGAGCAGAGAGTACACCACCCCTCCAGAGGCCACAAAGGAGATGGCAGAGCAGGCCAGTGCCACTGCAGCCTTGGCCACGGCATTGCCCTTGCTGCTTCCACCTGCCCCTCGACAAGGAACTTCCCAGAGGAAGTCAAGCGGGACTCTTGTCTGCCCAGTTCTCCTCTTTAAACATCCTCTTGCCTCCAAGACATCATTCCACACTGGCCCTCTGCTTTGTTCACTGCTTCTACTCCAGCTCTTGGCATCACAGATTTTGTTTTCAATGTGGAAAAAATATTTAATTTTTTTATTTTTTTATTTTTGTATTCCCCATACAATTGCAACCCCCTGATTTTGACCCCAACCCCTCCTTTCCCTCACCCCCCCCCCATAGTATGTCTCTGGTTCATAGTTGGTTGTTGATTTTGATTTTTTTCTTTCTTATAGTTATTCTTTTTCATGGTCTCTTATTTAGATTTTCTAAATTCCTGCTATGAGTGAGACCATCTGGTATTTTTCTTTTTCTTTCTGGCTTATTTCGCTGAGCATGATCCCTTCCAGTGGCATCCATGTTGCTGCAAATTGCATGTGTTTATCTTTTTTGAATGCTGAGTAATATTCCATGGTGTATATGTACCACATCTTCTTGATCCAGTCATCTATTTTTGGGCATTTGGGCTGTTTCCAAAGCTTAGCTATTGTAAATAGTGCTGCTATAAACATAGGGGTGCAGGTGCTCTTTGGAATTGATGTTTCTGTGTCCTTTGGGTAAATACCTAGGAGTGGAATTGCTGGATCATATGGAAGCTCCATCTTTAGTAGGTTGAGGAATCTCCACACAGCTTGGAAAAAATATTTTAAATACAGAAAATAATCTAGCAAAACCCATAAATCTAATACACAGAATCAACAACTATTAAAATTTAGTTAGCTTTATTTTAGTTTTATTTTTCATGACAGGAATACACTTGACAAAGTTCAAAACTCCTTTGCACTTATTCCTAGTCCATTCCCTCCCTCCCCTCCTCCACAAAGGTAAAAACTTTCCAGGGTTCTCTCTCTGTATATATAGATTATATATATAATAATAATGTCTATATAGATTATATATATCCTCCCCACGACCCACCACCCATTCTTAAAAAGTGTTTGTACATATATGTGAATCCAAATATAATACACTGATTTGTTCTGAGTGCCTTCCACATTTGCTAAATGGTTTATTTTACACATCAGCCCACAATTCATTTTTGTCACTCATGTTCTCTTTTTGCATTTGATATACTTTGAGAGATCCATTTGCATTGTATGAATATACAATATTATTCCCTGTTGATGGAAATTTTGATTATCTGTTAATTAATGCATTCCATGTGCAGGTATGCAGGTTGTTCTAGGTATGCATCAAAGCATGCAATGACTGGTCAAAGGATATGCACATTTTTATCTTTGCTATATATTCTCAAATTATTCTTCAAAGAGGTTTACAAATTCACATTTCCTCTGAAGGTAGCAGACCAATTTCTGGGTAACTGTAGGTTTGTTGTCACGTTTCCATGGGCTAACTTGGTGTTTTGTGGATGCCTCTCTGATCCCTACCTTCCAGGTGTGAGCTCTCCATTGCTTCCGGAGGGACCTTCCCCACAGTGTGTGTACTTTATGCATATACTTAGATGGTTATCTGACAAAAATTACTTTATTTCTCCTAAAGTTAACTATATACACTTCCAAGAAAGAGAATTTTTAGTTTACCCTTATTTTCAGGTGAGATTCCTGAGTTTCAGGCAAGTGATGTTCACTGCCCCCAGTGGGCCTGTAGCTCTTTCAAGTACTCCCCATGGGCTCCTCATGTTCCATCATAGCAGCCCCAGGGCAGCCAACCTCTTGAGTTTCCTAGCTTCTACTGGGCCACTCCAGACCTCCACTGAATCTTGAATCTTAAACGTCTAAGTGATCCCTGAAGAAACTTCCCAAGTATCGTTGGGTTATAACGCCCAGACACTTAACTTGTTGCTCCATCACACCTAGGATGCTGCTCTTTTTGCAATGGTCCATAATAGCTTAGTGTCATGTCCTCCATCCAGGTAGCAGGGTTTTATGGGATGCAGAATGGTGGTGGGAGGAAATGGCATCTCCCTTCCTTCCAGGATATTAACCAGAAGAAGCACACATTATTTCTGTTAATATCATATTGGGCAATATATGTAGACATATGAAGGAAAGTTTGGAAAATGTAATTGTTAATCTGGGTGGCCATCTGCCCAGCTGAATTTTGGGAGTTGATTCCCCAACATGAGGTAGAAGGGGAAGGTCGATGAATATTTGGTGACACATCCTTTTTAGAGGAGCCCAGTTAGAGACATTAGGCCTCAGGTACGATAGTAGAAATTCTATGGCTATCACAAAACAGAGCTGTATTCTTGAAATGCAACATACATGTTACATGCTTAAAATGCTATCAGCACTCCTCATTGGTAGATTCTAATTAGAGAAGTAATTCCTTCAGTGATCGATACCTAAAAACCCTGACATCATCCCAATAGAATTGTTCCCAAGGAGACACCTTTGTGTGTTTTGTTTCATGCACTATGTTTGAAAGATATTTGAACAAGTATCACAGTTCAAATGAATTTATGTCCAAAATCATAGACTAAACACATTTTTTTCCAAAATGTATTTTCCTATCTACACTTTAAAAAAAAAATGGACAAAATGTCAGTTGGAATAAAGTTATGGAGAAAAATTTTATCCAACGCCTGAACTGTAGTTAGATTGAATCCACTGTTCTCTTTCAGAACCTGGAAGCTATTTGGCTGTCTTTGCAGTGTTAACAATTTGCATTTGTGAAAATGCCCAGGTAATAATATCAAAAAGATGTTAAATCAATTCAGGTTGTTGATGTTCTTTGAAAACCTCTTCCAAAAGGATTTGGTGTTCTTTCTGGAATATGACTTAAGCTCCATTCCACTGAGTGCAGCTCAGCCGGTGTTTGTTGAGTGAACCATGGTGCTCAGGGGCTATAAGTCCTGAAAAAAATAGCCCCTTCCTCACAGTAGCTCAAAACCTAGTTAGCTCAAGTGTTTGATCAAAGTGGGACTGTAACACCTATTATCAAAGTTGAAACAATGGAGTAGGGAAGGATAGAGAAATAGACTCATTTCAACTGAGGTGACTGACTAAGGAAGATTCCTGCGAGTATGTGGGGCTTGAACTGGATGTCAGCTCCTGAAATCTGATGAGAATGCCATGCCATTGTCCTTTGACAGAGGCCGGTGTCTTTTTTCTATCTGAGGATAGATCTGGGTACACTAGGGAATGCTGATTAGTGCCATGTGACTAATGTTGAATCATGCTGACTAATGTCTTCTGAATGGATTGATTCAACAATAAAGAGAACATTGAGAGTCAAGAGTTCAGATCCTGAATTTAGCATGTGATGAAATGTAAATCACTCAGGCTCAGAACTTCATTTTTTTGTCAATTAAAATGTGCTCATGAGGAGACTTGAACAAGTCACCTGGAGTGCTAGGTAGAAAGTGCTTTATAGACCTCGGGGATAATAGAAACTCTGAACAACACCGAGGACAGGCTTGTGCAACCTCAGGTTATTCACACTCAGAGAATCAGAACATCCATCACATGTTGCCCCCCAACCATGCGAAATTTCTGTTTCCTTGCACATGCCCTGAAAACTGACAAACAGAGCATGCATTCACAAAAACTGACAGACAGAGCACTTATTCACAAAAACTGACAAATAGAGGCGCTTTTGAAAACCTTCCTATCTACCTACTGGGGTGTTTGTGTTTTTCTACAACAAATGTCGCCACAGAACTAAGAGCTTGCATTGCACACACCGCTCTTTCTCTCTTTTGACATCTCCCCAGCTAGACTGCTTGAGAACCTGGCCTTCCGTGTCCAGATGTTTACTGAATTCTGAAGGCCCCCCAAAGGGCCCAAGTTCTTTTGTTGCTCTCCAAATCACTTCCCACAGAGACTGACCGATGTCCTGAAGGAGCCAATCAATAGGGAGGATAAATGGAGGCAGATGAAGACATGACCCCCTGAGGCTCACCCACGTCCACACTAACAAAGGGCCTGAGGCACAACCTTGTCAAGAGAATTTTGGTCAGCAGTGTCCCTTGGAGAGGCCAAGTCTCCCCCACCGAGCTGCTTTCAATGGCTACCATCATAGTGGAAGTACCGGGCATTTGTTAAGGGCCGGGGTGTGCTAGGTGTAGCACAAAACATCTAAATCATGGTCCCCAGCCTTTGTGAGGGCTTCCTGATTACAGATGGCAGCTGGCTTTCTCAGGGGAAACCTGGGGATAGAGGAGGAGACCAAAGAGGGGCTCCCACTTCTCCTGATGACCACTTCCCACCCAGCCCAGGAAAAATGCCCTTTGTCTCTAACTATGGGCAGTTAAGCCTGGACCATGGGACTTCACCCCACCTGTGCTGCGATTTTGGGTGCCTGTGGTTTGTGAGACCGTTGGCTCCTGGGGTAATAGACAGGAATGTCTGTAGGAGGACTACTGCTGGAAGGAGTATTTTATTTAGACTGCTAGTGAGAAGTTAATGCATTTCATGATGATAATTTTTTTTTCAAACTTTCTTTCTCTCCCTTTCATTTTTTTCCTTTAGGCTAACAGAGGCCATAGGGACACTATGACCTTTGTGTAGAGCTGCCGGGGGCATGATTTGTGAAATGAAACAGGCCATGCTGCCTGGAAGAAGGAAACGGAAGCCAACATAATGGGGATTAATTAGTTGATTGCTGTTGAGATGGTAACAGCCTTGCCCCTATACCACTGAGCCCACCATTGCAGGGAAGATGAAGATGAAGAAGCCTTTGTTCAGGTCTCTAGAAGGCTTTGCAGCCCTGGGATGTCAACAGCCATAATAATAATAATTTGCACTTATATAGCACCTTTCAACCAGGCACCTCAAAGCGGTTTAACCACATTAATTAATTAAAAGCCCACAATCCCCTGTTGAGAGAAGGAGGATGACTAACAGGATTTGTGATTACAGGAGGGAATGTTTCCGAATAAAGTATTGTCCACTAAATAAAGAGAGTAGGTGTAAAGGAATTGAGGTCTCCAAAGAGGAATTGATTCAGAAATGAAATCATGGAAAGGTGGGGGGGTTTAGAGGCGGGCATCGGCATGGGGGTCTGCTCTCATGTCCAAGGGAGGTCACTGGTCTCAGCATTCACTGACAGGTTCAGATCCAACTGGGAAGCGGAACATGTATGGTATTAGTGGCATTTGGAAGGTCATTATTCGGAAAACTATTGTGGTGTAAATTCAGGTTTCACGAGTATATTGTGTATAACCCTGCAGAACAAAGATTGCGATTCATGAAGGATTTAATAAAGACTGAAATGATCCCTTTAACTTTAAAGTGCAAAGCTGTCCCAGTCAATTAGTAAACTAATCAATTGGTGACTCATAGATTAATTTAGTCATTTCTAGCAGACATACCCAGTCTATCCCCTTCCGAGGACTTGAGACTTCCAACCAAAGCTTCAAGACTCTGTTTGATGTAAGGCTTGGGGGCTTCTTCTCCTTCCAAGCCAGGTGCCAAATCACCCCAGCCTTTGGCATTGGTACCTCTTTTACCTGACTTGTTAGTGACCCCACACAGTCCTCTAAAGAATCACTTTTTACCTTCACTGGTTTTCAAATGCCTTGGTTAGAATCAACTCTTATCCTATCTCATCTCTCCCATTAGTGCCCAGCAGCATCTGTGCACCAAGGAGGTAGGAAATTGGTGGAAAATGGTTGACCTGAGTCTTCGTTGAGCACCTACCAAGACCTCAGAAACAATGGCTCTCTGCCCTGTCCTGGAGAACTATATTATAATAAATGGAAAAGACTCTTAAGCTACTAACTGTAACAGAAAGCAGAGTAGAGTAAAGTGATATGACAGATGCATGTCCAAGCCACATGCTGCAAGGGCTAAAGGAGGCACATTTAATTCCACCGGAGTGGGTCGGGGCAGGCATTCCTGGAGAGCGAGCATTGCTCTGGGCATTGGAAGGCAAGAAGGATTCCGATAGACCTGGAAGAGGTGGGTGAGGCTCATTTTCCAGACTGTGGTCATTTGTCTCCCTCTGAACGAGGTGTATTTTGAGAACTTGTGGTCTTCAATAGAACATTTGTGAAAAATAAGCTGAGTTTTGGAAGATGCTTAAGTGTACATTTCCTAAGAATTCTGATGAATTGAATTGGCTCATTTCAAACATCAAGGAACTATTTGAGAAGTTAGGAAAGATGTTTCGTTCTCTGTAACTACTAATTTGGTCTCTCCCCACTCTCACTGTCTACCAAAGAAGGAAAGCAAAATGGTTCACTCATTACAATGGGGCACTCAGAAGTGTCTGAAAGAGGTTCAGGAAACCATATCCCCACCCCAAGTCTCAAAGAGCTACGGGCTTTTGACTTGCTTGACCCCCAGGAAATACTAAGACAATGCTATACCCCAGGGACTGAGAAAATCAGTCCCATACTCTCCCGCTCCAAGGCCCATCAGGGCACATCACCACCAGCCATGCTGCCAAGACAGGGACAGGCACTGTCTCTGTACCATGCTAGTGTCCACTGGGCATCACTGCATGTCCAACACACACTTCACAACATCACATCACCGAATCCCCCTAACAACCTCGCCAGGTAGGACTTCTTATTATCCTTCATTGATGAGGAACAAGGCAAGTTCAGTCTGTTGCTAGAAAGTCATGAAATGTAGATATGAACATAAGCAGTCATGCTCCTTCCACTTGCCCCTCTCCCAGGTGTTCACATCTGGCACAGCCTCTCTTAGTTCTCCTCGTTTCACGCAAGTACTCAGGTCAATACTACAGACATAGGAATTCAGTGAATATTTCCAAATAACAGAATCCCTGGGGACCATATTAGTAGTTTGAGCCACTGGAAGAAGTGGCTACAGAAGACTTGGACAGTGGTGCTGAGACTCTAGTAGAGGCTCCATCACGCCATCTTCACTCTCCACCATTATTAAATCTCAGGAAATACACATCGGAAATTTTCCCCCGGGAAGCTGGTAAGAAAGAAGACACAAATGCATTCTTCCACATGAGCTGAAGATCTGCCAAAAGGGTACCACCCATGAGATGCATCGCATATTATTAATAACTTTTATTGAACTTGGCTGCTGCTCGCTGTTTTTTTTCTAGGTATGTTTGTGCATATCCATATTTATGGCAAAGTCCAAATTTGTCTCCCTCATGGCGGTAGCCACCTAGCTATTCTGGGGAAGATTCAGAACTGGAGTCCTGATCAGCCCACAGAGTGAACATTTCTGAATTGACTTGGAAGTGCTTTGGACTCTATGTGCTCTATCTTTTTTGATTGGATGTTGTGAGCAGTTACTTTTTAGAAAGAGGATTGTGAAAGTTTGTCTGGCAAAACCAAATAAGAATTTGGGAGATTGGAAAATGAGGATTAGGTAATGGGAAAGAGGGATATGAAGACCAGAGGAAGTGCAAAATACCTGATTCTGGCCTAAAAGTTGTAGATTTAGAACTGCTGGGAGATGTCAGGTATTTTGCTGTTTTTTTGTTTTGTTATCCTGAGCTTTGATTTTAATATTGTCACCATCACTTTTGTCTTAGAGCTGTGAAGACTTTCTTTATTCTACTACAGAATTCAGCAGAAGCCTCTTCGGCACAAATGGAAGGAAGGAGCTGTAGGGGCCGGACTGGACACTGAGCAGGTTTTCTGATCCCATGCAGACCGGGTAAAGGAGGAGTCCTCAGTGGTTTTGCAGGTTTTTATTGGGATTACCAGGTACACAGCAGGCAGGGGCGCTGGGGGGCAGGTAGGCTGGCAGGCCTCCCAGCCCCCAGCAGGTCTTCACTCTGGGCTCTCCGGCCTTCTCTCAGCTTCTGCTTCTCTTACTTCTCTCTCAGCTTCTGCTGCTTCTTTCTCGGCTTCTCTTTTGGCTTCTGCTTCTCTGCTTCTTTCTCGGCTTCTGCTGGTATCCCCATGACGCCGCTCTTAAAAGCAGTATCAGCCCAGGTGAATCCCATCTACCTCTGCCCACACCCTATTCCAGGTGCCCGCCATCAGGCATACATTCAAGACCACAAGGATCCATCATCTATCCTGATGGCGGGAGGGCAGAAAAGTCTGACATTTTTCCTTACCCTACAGGAGCCTTAACACTTCTCAGAAGAACAGCCTGAGTGCGAGGAAGTGCATTGTCTGCTTCTGAATTTTAGTAAGGACAGGATTCTGATGGAGCACAAGTTCTCCAGAGCTCCAGATGGGTCTGGGGGAGAGATGACTGACAAGTAGTAGGCACAAGTCAGGGGGAACATGATTTTGCTGCCTAAACAACCTCAGTGACTTAGAACAAAGTGTGTGCATGTGAGAGACTCTTTTTTATGTGATGACTTGTTATTTCATTTTTGTATCAACATGCATTTCCACAATTAATTGCTTAATTGCACACCAGCAATTAAGTACTGCCCCCCAGAAATGATACACATCGCTCCCTCAAGGCCAGTCATGTGACCACTCCCAACTTCAAGGAGGCAGGAAGCACAAACATCCCCTCTATTTGGAAAAGGAGAACTGGATATCAGTGAACACTCATCATGTCTGCCACCTTCTGCTCTCCCAGTGAGCTGGCAAATGACTCCTTTGGCAGTCGCTCCTTACTGTATGCCTGTAAGAAACATGAGGTGCTCAGGCTCTTTTTCATCTCAAGCCTCTCCAGCTGCTACCTGAGGCTTTGCTTTCCTCCCAGGTTTCATTGCCCACACATGATAATGTGTTGTTTTGGAGGCTGCTTGGGAGCATGAGCATGGGGCAGGTGCAACCTGTAGTTGTGGACACCTGGGCCAAGAAGCCAGCACATAGGGCATGCGCACACGTAAATGCAGACACGGGCCAGAGGAGCAAGGGATTAAAGGGACTTGGCCTGGAAGGCAGTGTCACTCTGAGGCTAGGAGCTCTATTGCTACCTCCCTACCTGCTGGTCTGCCTGTGTCCGGTCACCTGCTTCAGCATCAATGGCCTGCAAAAATCTACAAGGATCCAAAATTCTCTTTTTGTCTACCTGAATCAACAATGAACCTACCCAGCCTGGGATGGTTGCACAATACCTTTCCCTTGCCTGACATATATTGGAGACTTTTGGGTTAGTGTTGAGGAAGGAAGACCAAAGAGTTTTGCAGTCCGTTTAGTCCACAGATGACCTTTTTGTAAACAAGGAATAGCTAGGGAAAAAAACAGTTTACTTTAGATACTTGTCAGAATCTATCTGACACTAATAATTCTGAAACAGGATAATGGGTTAAAGGGAACCATGGCCTGATTTCAATAATGCATCTGAGGTGAAACAGCTCATTCTGAGTGGCCTGGGACCTTCATCCTTTGTGTGAAAAGGTTTCTGGAAATGTGCCTTTCTGCCTCCTTTCTTCCCCTGGTTACCACCCATGATTCAAGTTCCCTCTAAGCCTTGTGACTTTTTCAGAAAGCAGCTCTTAGCAGTAGCAGCAGGAGAGAGAGAGAGAGAGAGAGAGAGAGAGAGAAACTTTCCCTTATTATTCTTCCAATAATGAATTCCTGCTCTGAGTGTGCTCCTTCCATGTGTTTTCAGTCAAGTGCTGATGGCAGCCTTGCCTGGGGACATTTCCAAGAGGCTGTGGACATAATGGATAAGCTCTTATATTGACAAGAGCTGCTCTCGGTTTTCCTTCTAGTGTAGCTCCTCCTGAGCCCTGAAATCGGAGATGAGAAATGATTCATGAGATTTTGCTGGCAAACCAGCTCGGCTGCCACACCTCTTTGCTGCTTTTAACTAGGTAAAAATTCATGGTTTTCAAGTTTCCCTCTGAGAGACTTGTAGACCTATATCTTAGTAACTTTAAAAGGATTTAACTTCTCAGACTAGACCAGTTCTCTATAGATGCCAAGACCTCCTTTCTTCAGGACTCAAACACAGCCATATTCCTAAATTCTGACATCATAAGAACAAAAGGAGAACTGGGTCACACCATTTCCTGCCTAAAACCTACTCAGAAGTACACTGGAGCTTCCAAGTCAGCAGTGGTGGAGGACCGTGTTTGCTAAGGGAACTGGACTAATTTACTCCAAAGCCAATGTCTTCAGATGATAATTCAGTTTTTAACTTACCTACATGGAACTGACACAACTTGATAGTTATAGTTGGCCTCTTTTCATTGAGAAGTATCTCAGCTCCTCAGGTGAAAGGTCAGGTGTTGTAAAGGATATAGGTGGCCTGGAATTGAAAGAGGCAACCTTGCAGCTTCAGTGCATTGGAGTCCTTGCTTCTCTCTGCACATCTGACCAAGGCTACTCTCGCTCCCAGCAGACACGCCCTACAGACTGTTGTTCAGCTTATTCAAGACTTGATCTTGTGTGTGGCTCATTCAAATGTCTCTGGCTCCTCTCTCTATACCTCAACCTTTCAACTTCAGTTCCCATTGGCTTTTTCCCTTGGCGTTTCCTCATTAAAATTCCTAAGAAAGAATCTGGCTCAGGTGCATCCTATTGTTTTATCTCAGACGACATTCTTGGTCACCAGTCCGTTGCGGACTAAGGGAGGAGCTGAAAGCACAGCTGTCTGTACGTCAGCAGATGCGGGCATGGCGGTTCCCGGGAGAGGGCCTGTGAGAGAGCGGGGGCCACGAAGAACTCTAGTGCTTTCTTGGTGCCCTTACCTGGATTCCCGCGAGCATCCTCAAGCTCGCTCTTGCTTCCTCCTCTCCTTTTTATCACTGTAGACCTGGTCTCTTCACATCCTGATACAGCCAAGCCGCCCCACACTGCTCACCCCACAACCTCTGATTCCAGTACCCTCCCTTGTACCCTGTTGAAATGCCCAATCACAGAGGAATAAGACAAGTACGTGGGAAAGAAGAGCTCTTAACATTTATTTGAAATATAAGGAAGATTGAAGAAAGTGTGGTACAAAAGGAGAAACAGAAATAAAACCCTTTCTTGCTGTTCCCCAACGGAACCCCAGTACCTTTCCTCTGTCTCCTGATATTTGGAGCAATTTCCCTTTCTCCAAAATCAGACAGCAGCAGAAGCAATAGAAATTTTCACTGAGGAATCCTAACCAAGCTGAGCAGAGAGATTCTTGTTCCAAAAACTCCTAGAAGTTTCTCTGCCTTCTGCAAGAACTCCGTAGTCTCACCCCAGACCCTTGTCTTTCTCCTGCCCCACCCTCAAGGCCTCATGGAACCCTCATTCCAGATCCTTGAATCATAAACTCCAAACCACTTACTTCCAAGCTAAGGCTTAGAACACAGGTCAAGCACTCTGCTTGAGTAAGGGCTTTGCCAGTTGTGTTCTCCCAAGATGCCTGAAGCTCTTCATTGGCAGCTCCAACAAATATCCATGAAACTTTTTGGAAGACTAGTCATGTGTGGTGTTGCTCACCAGAGTCAGAGAAATGTGCTATGTCTGAATTTGCACATCAACCAGAGGACAAGGGGGAAAACTGAATCATCATAGTGGGCTTTCTTTGCCTTTCCTTCGCTAGAGACCATTGCCTTTATACCTCATCAGGTGGTTAAAAATGTGTATGTTCAAATTTCAGTGTTTCCATTTTTTTTTTTCAGTGAATGTGAGATTAGAAGTCAATCTTAACAACTCTGTATTTTCCTGTCCTCTCCTGCGCTTGAGAAATGTCAGTATTGATTAGGTCATTAGTCAGACCTTACCCAGTGACTGACTCTTATCTACTGACTAAGATTGCAAAGTTTCCCTAGGAGCATATGATGACAGAGAAGGTAGTTCTAGTGTTTATAAACCTGCTGCCATAGGATTCTAGAACCAGTACTACTGGATCCCTTCCAGATCTCTGCTCATTCCATTAAGAATCTGAGGTTGAAATCTATTGCCGTTGGCTGTCCCCTGGGACTTGAGAACCCATCTGGGTTTTGTCTACCCTCTTTCTCCAAAACCATCGTTAAACTCCAGTCATTCCCACCCTAACAGCTTGAAGCTTATGAAAAGGAGCAGAAAAGCCAATTTGGCTTCCCCTCATTCTCTAGACCCCTCTGGGGTTAATCAGCAACCACCTATCTTTGTGTCAAGCCGAACTAGAACACCTGGAGGAAATGACTTAATATGAAGCCAACTCGGCAATAATTATTCTGCATGACGCTGTTTAAGCTGGACTCAGGCTGTCCAGACAAAAACAGTGTGCTCAACCCAACCAGGTAACTCAGTGGCCCTGTAGCACTCCGTGTTCTGCAGACCACTTTGAGTTTTGCTAATGCTTTCCATGCCCACATCTCAGCTGCAATGCCTCCTGATACTGTGAACTTCAGGCAATATCTGTCCCATTTCAGGGAATTTAGTGGAATGTCCTGTGTGCATCTCGCTGGTAGGATTCCTTAGTAGCATCTATCCAGCCCATTCTGGTGGTGGCATCCACACCACTGAAGGAATGATGGACCTTCTTAACTGGGATTGCTGACAATATCTCTTAGTTTCTAATTCAAGTGGCTTTGGGCTTTAGGTGATTGCTCACACAGGAAGAGGGCACCAGAAAGTGGTAGGCGGAATGCTTGGGGGAGGACACATTATTAGGTAGGGTAGCAAGCCTACCCTACCAGAGTACTGCAGACTAGCTTAAACAGCAGACATTGATTTTTCTCACTGTTCTGGAGGTCTCCTGAGACCTGTCTCCTTGGTTTGCAGATAGACACCTTCTCTGTGCTCTTTTAGTGTCTCTTCCTCTTAAAAGGACACCAATCATATTGGATTATTAGGGACCCACTCTTATTATCTCATATAACCTAATTACCTACTTCTAAAGACCCTATCTCCAAATGTAGGCATTTTTTTGGGTTACAGTTTCAACATATAACACCCTACCATGACACCTCCCATGACTGTTCATATC